CTAAGGCCTTGAAAAGAAGTGGAGGTGAGAATATTAGGGAAATTAAATATTTAAAAGCAACTCCATACAAGATAAACAGAAAAAAAAGGCACACATACACACGCACGTAGGCCAATAAAAATTTTTCCAGAAAAAGCCTGAGAAGTTCTTAAACCTTCAAGCTGGGATAACTAGTGCAGGTCTTCTTCTGCATGGAGTCAGTCTATAAAGACTAAGAGTGACTTTTTTTTTTTTTTTAAATTCTCAACAAGAGATAACAAGAAATACAAAGAAACATGAAAATCTATTCATTTCATAGAAACAAAAGAAAGCACCAGAAAGTGATCCTGAAGAAACACATGCATTAGAAGTATTCGAAGAAAATTTTAAAACAATTATCTTAAAATGTGCTCAGAGGGACTAGCAGTTGGCATAATGGCTATGTCACTGTACTCCCATGTAGTCGACAGTGGTTTGAGTCCCAGACCTGGTGGCTTAAACTCACACCTGGCACGTGTGTGTACCCAAGATCCCAAGAGGAGAATGGAGGAGAAGGGATTGCAACTTGGCTATCCTCCCTGAGGGGTGATTTCTCGCTTTCCATCTCTCTGTCTCTGTCTTTCTGGTGAGCGCACGCACCCTATAGCAAAAACCTCCATCCCCCCCCAAAAAACAATGTTCAGAAAGATAGGGACCAGCAGTTAGCGTAATGGCTATGTCATTGAACTCCCATGTAGTCAACTGCAGTTCAAGCCCCGGACCTGGTGGCTTAAACTCACGCTGGGTGCGTGTGCGTGTGCGTGCTTGCCCAAGATCCTGAGAGGAGAATGGAGGATAAGGGATTGCTGCATGACCATCCCCTTGGGGGATGATTTCTCACTTTCTTTCTCTCTGTCTCTGTCTTTCTGGCAAGCACAAATGCCTTATAGCAAAGGGAAAAAAAAAAAGATAAAGAAAAACGTGGAAAATAAATTTTAAAATCAGGCTAGGGACCAACAAACAGGTGGTGTGGAGGTTAAGATACTGTATTCCCACATGGCCTAAAATGGTTCAAGATCTGGACACAGCAGTATAAAAATCATTTCCAGCATTTGTGCATAAATGACTAAAATACTGAAAGGAGAATATTGGAGAAGCAATTGAGGCGTGGTCATCACCCTAGGGGATGATTTCTCACTTTCTATCACTTTGTTTCTGGTGAGTACACATGCCCTATGGCAAAATGCTCCCCCCAAAAACTCAAGATAATAATATATGAATAAAATGAGAAGATTAATAATATATGAATAAAATAAGAATATTAATAAATATAAGTTTATAAATTAGGACAAAATTAAATTTTAGAGGGAAAATCAGTTCAATAACCAAATTAACAGCAGTGCAGAGATAAAATGCAACGCTCTATTAGGAATGATTCACATCGGAAGTATCCAGCTTTCTATCTGGAGACCTTTCTGAATATAACAGGTACACATGTGCCCATGATCTGGGGCTGACTGAGCCTGCAGGTAGATTATGGTGTCAAGACACTGTAGGAGGTGCTGTCTTTCTCTCTTGCTTATGAAAGAAATATATAAATAAACTTTAAAGAAAATGTTTTACTATAGGTTTCAAAAGACAGGTAGAAAAAAAAATCAGTAAACTTGAAGACAAGTGACTTGAAAATAATTAAGTCTGAGGAACAAAAAGAGAAAAGAATGAAGTGAACAGACACTAAAGGATTTATAAGACCATTAATATGACTAATATACACATTATGGAAGTCCTAGAAGGAAGAGTGAGGAAAAATGAAAAAACTTATTTGAAGAAATAATGGCCAACATTTTCCCAAATTTGAGGAAAGAGATGGGAATAAAAATCCAAGGAACCCATCATAAACTCAGAGAGTTATACTGAGATACATTTTAATCAAATTTTCAGAAGATGAAAAGAGAATTTTGAAAGCCACAAGAGGAAAGATACTTATCTCTTGTTTCACACATGGGATCCTTCATAAGTTTATAAGTAGATTTCTTTTTCTTTTTTTTTTTTTTGAGAGATATTTGCTATAGGGTGCATGTGCTGATTAGAGAGACAGAGAAAGGGAGACAGAAAGTGAGAAATCAGGAATTCTCAGGTGGTATGATGGTTAAGGGCACTGGATTCCCAAATGTCTGACTGTGGTTTGAGTCCCAGACCGTGGTGGCTTTCTGTCTCTCTCTCTCTCTCTCTCTCTCTCTCTCTCTCTCTCCATCCCTCACTCTGTTCCTCTCTAGTCAAATTACAAATAAGTAAATAAATAAATTTTTAAAAAAAGATAGCGAGAAATCATCCCCCCCAGGGGTGGGGAGATGGCTTTGCCACAATCCCTTCTTCTCCATTTTCCTCTTGGGATTTTGAGCATGCACACACATGTACCTGGCATGAGTTTTAAGCTGCCAGGTCCAGGACTCAAACTGCTGTTAACTTCGTGGGAGTCCATCAATGTAACTTTTACACCATCTGTTAGTTCCCAGACACTACAACACTCTTAGAAGAAAACACAGGAGCAAATATTCTTTTTTTTTTTTTTGGAGAGGTTTTTGTGATAGGGCGCATGCGCTTGCCAGATAGACAGAGAGAGACATTAGAGACAGAAAGAGAGAAATCCCCGGCCAGGGGGGATGGTCATGCCGCAATCCCTTCTCCTCCATTCTCCTCTCGGGATCTTGGGCACGTATGCACACGTGCCCGGCGTGAGTTTTAAGCAACCGGGTCCAGGATGTGAACCGCGGTCGACTACGTGGGAGTCCAGCGACATAGCCATTATGCCAACAGCTGGTTCCCAGTAGCAAATATTCTTTACCTGGAATTTGGCAATGGTTTCTTAAATATGATACCCAAAGTACACGTAAAAAAATACAATCTAATAAATTGGACTTCATTAAAATTTTAAAAAAACTGCATGAAATGAGTGTCAAGAGAGTAAAAAGTCAATCTACAAAATAAAAGTCACATATATGATAACAGCATAATATCCAGACTACATAATGAATTACTACAACTAGGTAGCTGAAATATGAACAACTCAATTTAATAATGGATTGTCTCAAGGCCAGATGGTAGCATGGAGGTTAAGGTGACTAGATCCCACAAGTGCAATTGGGCTGTTCAAGTCCCAGATCTGGCAGCTTGAAAAACATGCTGGGCATGTGTGTGTGTGTGTGTGTGCCCAAAAATACCAAAAGGAGAAGGAACTGCAGCATGTCAATTCTCCATGGGGGATGATTTCTCCCTTAATATCTCTCGTTCTCTCTCTCTTTCTCTTTTTTCCAGCAAGCACATACACCCTTTAGCAAAATGAATTTAAAAAATAAATGGTTTGTCACAGCCACAGTGGTACGTGCTTCTCAAACTCTGTGTTCTGCAAGCTGGGACCATATGAAGGCCCAAATTCAATCCTCATCCAACTTAAATGTTTATGCATTAGCATGTGCCTTCAATCCCAGTAACTCAGGAAAGTCAAAGGCAGTAAAATAACATTTTTTAAAAGACAGGATCTTAAAAAAAAAGTCAGGACTGAATATGAATAGACATTTCTCCAAAGAATATATAAAAACAGCAGATAAACACATGCGATACTGAACATCACTAATCATTAGGGAAATGCAAATCAAAACTACAACAAGAAAACACTTTATATACTTTAGAAGAGCTATATCCCCAAACCAAAAATAGTCAATGTTATCAAGGATGTAGATAAAAATGTATTCAAACATTGTTCATGAAAATGTAAAATGGTGAGGCTGCTAGGAAAGCTTCAGAATGGCTTTAACCATTCATCTTTTTATGACCCTTCTTGTCATCATCATTTAACCAATTTCTAAAAAATTTCAGTTCATTTGTAAACTGTTCCCATTTTGATCCTTCACCAGAATGTAGGTTTTTCCTGGGCTGCTCACCCAATATCTTCCAACCTCTGCTCATTACAGTTGCAAACCTGCTTCCACATTTTCTGGTATTTACTCATAAAAACTCCATTTTGCAGTACCATATTTTTGTGTTACTCTGTTCTATTGCTAATAACTAAAAATATATGCGTCTGGATACTATGGCTTGAATAATGGATTATCCTGAAAAGTTTTATGTTATAGAAATTTGGTCCCCACGGTAATGACTTCGGGAGGTGGTGAGATCTTTAAGAGGGGAAGCCTTTAATGTGGGCAAGCACCTTGACTGACAAGATTGGAAGATGTATCAGAACTGAGAGAAAGACGTGTCTTCAGTTAGGCTGAGCACCATCCAACCCCATGAGAGTGTGCAAAGGGACAAACTGAGGAAGTAGAAAAGTCTGCTTCTTCTATGTCACTCCCCATCTCATTCTCTCTTTGTACAAGCCTGCCTTCCTTTCTGCTTCTGTCAACCATGCCATGATGAAGCACCAAAAGGCTGGCCAGATGCCTGCCCCATACTCTTGGACCTTCCGGTCAGTGAAATCATGAGTCAAATAACTTTTTATCCTTTATAAATCACCCAATCTTAGGTAATTAAGTTTAAGCAACATAATAAAATACTAATACATTGGGTAACATAAGAGAACAGAGGTTTATTCAACTCAAAGTTTGGAGAGACAAGGTCCAGGGGCCCTTATCTGTTAAGGATTTGAATGATAGCAGAGTTATGATACCCTACAAGGTCCATCACACCATAAGAAAACAGGAGTACGTGCCTCCATGTATTCATCCAATCATGTCTATCACTGTATACCTCTCTCTTTATAAAACCACCAGAGGTTCTAATCATAGGAACCTCTCCCCAATTACTTAACCACTTTCAGAGACCTCACCTTTCAATACAATGAAAGTATTAAGTTTCCTCTTATACCTTCACAAACAAATCTCAACCTATGAATTTTGAGAGGCCACATTAAAACTATAGCAATACCCACAGAGCTGAAGAGGAACTTAAACGACTACTTATACAACAATGTTTACACCAATGTGCTACCAAGAATAAACTCAAAGTTGAATTGGGAAACCTTTTTTATTGAACATCCTGTTAGAGCACAAGGATGGTCAGCTCCCAGTGGTCTTCTTGCAATCTGGACCTTTGAGTTGACCTTTAAAAGCATCTTCTCTGAACTACAGAGGACCCGAACTCCTTGAAATTTGCAGAGGTGACCCACATTTGCTTGAAACTGCTCAAGGATGTCATGACAGATGCACCAATCCATGCAGAGAAACACCTATCAGGAGAAGCTGTGATCTTGATGGGAGTCCCTTCAGAAGCCAGGTCCTCCAGTTCTTTCATGAGCCTTTCCTCCAGCCCAGGGAAGAGTGTGCTGCCCCCAGACAGTACAATCTCTGCAGAAAGGTTCTTCTGGATGTCGACATCACACTTCATGATGCTGCTCAAGACCATTTTCGAGAGTCCTGGGTTGTGGACACCCAGCTGGTCAGGTGCGAAAAGTACCTCGGGCACCTGGTATAGCTGTTCCCCAATGCGGATGACATTGCCATCCGGAAGTTTGTATTTTCTCAGGTTCTCTTTTGGTGTCTTGCATAGCTCTTTCTCTGGCTCCAAGGCGATGTAGCACAGCTTTTCTTTGATGTCATCCACCAAAGTCTTGTTGAGTATGCTAGGGAAGGTACACCTGCTAGCGAGAAGGAGTCGGGTGAGATGCTCAGTGATGTCCCTCCCTGCCAAAGGGAGCTTGGTGATTGCGTGAGACAGGGAGTAACCCTCAAAGACGGGGACAGTGCAAGTGATCCCATCTCCACTGTCCACCACCAGGCCTGTGACACAGGCTGAGGCAAAGAGTGCTACCCCTGCATGGTTGGCCAGGTAGAAAGCAGGCACATCGAAGGTCTCAAACATTATTTCTGCAATCTTCTCACGATTCTCCTTTGGGTTCAAGGAGGTCTCAGTCATGAGCACAGGATGGTCAGTGGGTTTTACCCCCAGCTCCCACTCATAAAGGTGCTTCCAGAGTCTCTCTACGTCATCCCATCCCGTTATCAGCCCACGCTCAATGGGGTAGTGCAAATACAAGGACTCACGTTTATTCAGGGCTTCTTCCCCCACGATGTACTTCTTCTCATCAGCTTTTGAAGACTTCTTGAATTTAGGATGCCCCACGACAGAACTGATGACATATCGGGGTCCGATCTCTCCAGACAGACCTGCTTTGCAGAGTCCGGAACCACTGTCAAATATCACAGCTGGAACTTCTAATATACATGGATTAGACATGTCTGCAGTGTGGACTTCACCCAAATAAAGGAAGTATCTTGGGCCGCTTTGTGAATAAATAGGCACCTCTGGAAGTTTTAAAGCCACAGGATTCTGAAGTTCTCAGGTTGTCACCCAGGCAGAGGTAGCAAAACACCCCATCCCTTAACCCATGAATCCTGTCTCCTTTCTGGTGGCCCAGGACCTGCTGCGGCAATTTCAAGGATGATGGCCCTGTATGTAACAATGCTGCCAAGGCAACCATTGTCCTCACTGAGCATCAGAGGGGAGGGGGTCGCTAAGCAACCTGTACTCCCTATGTGGTGAGACAGGAAACAGAGGAAGACAAACCATGCCCTTAAAAAGCCTGTGAATTTGCCACAGCGGCTTAAACTCAGAACAAAGTGAAACTGCCAAGCTGTGGGCTTGTCCCAGAGAACTGCCTTCTCTGCTCTACTGAGCTGCTGAATGTGAAATAACAAAAAATACTCTTCCCTTTTGGAAGAGAGAAACTAAGCACCAGACACAGGTCCAAGTCTGAGTGTGGATGTCTGCTACTCAGTTCTATTACTTTTTCCTCCTTACATATGTGGTTTTGTTTGAAAGAAACAACTTTATTGTGATTAATTTCATATCACACAATTTTCCCACTTATAATGTAGAATTCAATGTTTTTTAGTATATTCACTGTTATCTGCAAATGCTACAAAAGTAAATTTAGAATATTTTCATCACTTCAAAAATAAAATCCGTACCCTTTAACTATTATTCACTCTTTCGATTATTTTCTGGAGTCCTAAGCAACCATTAATATATTTTCTACAAGTGGAATGATACAATATGTGGTCTTTATGGCAGACTTCCTTCACTTTATATAATGTTTTCGAGGTTTATCCTTGTTTGGATAAAACACATTTTGGTTATTCACCACTTCATAAACATTTAAATCATTTCTATAATTTGGCTAATATGAAATATGATGCATAAAATGATCTTTGTAAGTTTTTTCATATATTTGTGTTTTCTTTCTCTTGTTATTTGTTTACTTTTGGTGCTAGATGGCACATGCACTTTCCAGAGAGGCATAGAGGAGAGGAGAAGGCACTCCCCATGGGGAATGGTCACACTACAATCCCTTCTATTATACTACGAAAGTATAATCACAAGGTATTTATGGTAATAAATGTGATTATTTACTTAAAATTCAGATTGTTTTTCTTAGACTATAAAAGAGCTTGTTTTTAATTCTGATCTTAAAATGCAAAACTAAAGCCATAATATCATTCAAACACATGATGAGAAGAAATTAAGTTCCATTCTAAAAAAAAAACAAATCTTTTGTACTGTATTTTGATTATTTTGTTCTTGGTTTTTGATTCTTAAATGTTATAGTGGCACCTTAGGATAGACCACTCCTTATGTTTTAAAAGCAGTAAATTTAGTTATAACCAAAAGAACAAAAGAAGAGGTTACACAATAATGAATTAGCATAGTAATCCTATTGAAATAAAGCTTACATATTTTTCCAGTAAGATGGTAAATCTTCCAAATCATTGTATGAGAGGTTAGTTATATATCCCTTTCCATCTGAAAGAGATGTTTCATAACACACGGGTTGATACTGGATTAGAAACAAGGAAGGATTATTACCCTTATGCTTTAACCTACTTTATGAAATCTTTATGTCATCACATAAATTTTCTTATTTCCTCTTATAAATTATTTTTTATGTTACTTTGTATTGTACTACAAAAATTTCAAGAAAACATTCTAGCTGTTGAATAGAAAATGTAACCTTTTTGTATGTTGATTTTGAATCTAGAAATCATGCTAAACTCACATATTGTGCCAATTTGTAGATTGTTTTATTTCTAAGCATATAGCTATAATCTTTGATTAATTGAAATTTTGTGCTTAATATCTTTTTCTTATACCTTTCTATGTCTTAACTTAAAGCACAATGGTAAGCAGAAATGATGATTACAAAGAATATCTGTCTCTTTCGTAAAATTAATGTGAATGCCTTCAGTTTCATTCTATTTAAGTGTTGTGGTTGCTTTAGGGATTAAAAAAATTGTCAGAGAGTATGTGCACTCACCAGAGAGAGACAGAGAGAGAGAGAGAGAAAGCATCCCTCAATGGGGTGTGGTTATGTCACAATCCCTTTTCCTCCATTTCTCCATCCCATTGGGACTTTTGGCATGCAATACACACACATCCAATGTGTTTTTTCAAGCCACTGAAGCTGGAATTTGCCATGTGGGATCCAGCTCCCTTAATGACTGGGCAATAGTGTGGCCTAGTAATTTTTTAATACTATCCATTCTAGAATAAGCAAATTGTATTTTTTTTTTTTTGCTAGAAGTCATTATGATGACTGGTCATTGAATTCTACCAAATACTATTTGATTTTATTTTATAATATCAAATTTATTATGAAGATATAGACATTTTTTCTACTAATAAGTTAATTTATTAAAACATATTTCTTGCAATTCTAATTATGAAGCAATCTACATTTTAGGAATAAAATCAATGAGGACAAAGTTTGGGGCTTTAAAATTCTTTTGTTAAGGATTTTTACACACATGTTCATAAGAGATATGTCTATATTTATTTATTTTTCTTTTTGAACTTCACTTATCAGTATTTGGTGCCAAATTTATAAAATCAAACTTTATCCAATAATTTGTGGAATGTTTTTGTTTTCTATATTTTAAAATAGGTTTGTAGGATTGGACTTAATTGTTTCTTAATTTTTGTTAAACTTTGCAGGCGAAACTGCCTAGTCCTAGGGATTTGGGGGAAAAAATTCACTTTTTTTTAATGTATTTATTTAAGTTGATGCACAACAAATGAATAGCTCTTCAATGCATGATGTGAAATTGGACATATGAATATACCTACAAAACCACCTAACAACATAGTGAGCAAATCCATGAACAAAAGTTTATTCACATCCCATTATAAGCCTCCACTCCTGAGATCTTTTCTTACTCAGCTCCCCTGGGGGGTGATTTCCTATTTTCTTCCTCTCTCTCTCTCTCTCTCTCTCACAGTGGAATGTACACGCCCTATGGAAGAAACCCAAACAAAACAAAACATTTTTTAAAAGAAATTAATATATACAAAACAAAAAATACCTTAGCATTTGTTCCAACAATAATATTCCTTGATATTTGCTCAAATGAGTTGCAAACTTACATCCACACAGAAACCTAAACCTAGATGTTTATAGCAGCTTTATTCATAATCTCCCAAATTTAGAAGCAATCAAAATGTCCTCCAGGGAACCAGCAATTAGCGTAATGGCTATGTCGCTGGACTCCCACGTAGTCGACCGCGGTTCGCGTCCCGGACCCGGTGGCTTAAAACTCACGCCGGGTGCGTGTGCATGAATGCCCAAGATCCCCAGAGGAGAATGTAGGAGAAGGGATTGTGGCGTGACCATCCCCCCGGGGGGTGATTTCTCGCTTTCTGTCTCTCTGTCTCTCTCTGTC